ACTCGTGTGAAGTAAACTCTTCACCCCCAATTAATTCAAAGACAACATATTAGAAAATTAGTTTTATTCTCCACAAGTTTCTTGAAACAATTAAACATGGCAAAGGTTTTGACTTCTCCGTTAACAAATAAATCTACATATTGTGACTAAAATCATCAATAAAACTGAAAATGTGTCTTTTTTCACTATTAGAAGAATGTGAAATTAGACCACATAAGTATGTGTGTACCAACTCAAGATGTTGAGAAACTCTCTAACTACTTTTCTTTGACATTAATCCTTTGTTTTGCTTTTTCATTAAACAATCAATGCAAATCTCTGTAAAAGGTTGAAATTAAGGTAACCTTTTCACCATCTTCCCACACTGTAATGTTCTTCGCCCTTTGTAATTAAAATAGCTATACCTTTGGTGCAATAAATAAGCAAGTTCCTATGAATTTACTTGCAAACAATATGATGACACAGGAGAAGATAGGACATAGATCATTCTATTTGACGACATAGGAATGGATATAATAAGACCCTTCACTTGATGATAAACTTGACATTCTCTATTCTAAATTAAGATGGCTATACTCTTCTTTTATAATTAACTAACACTTAGCAAATTATTGGGTAACTTAGGAATATAGAGCACATCACTTATTACCTGTGTTCTTCCTTGCACTTCCAATTCAAAGTCTCTTTTGCCACGTACTATCATGCTTGTATCATTGCCTAGCTTTATTGAGTGTGGAAATACTTCGTACATCTTGTAAAATCACTATTTGTTGTTAGTCATATGATTGCTACAATCACTATCGAGGAATCAAATATCCTCTTGCTTTGCATTATTTTCTTTCACGTACACCATCAACAATTATTCCTCTTCTTTATCTAGTTCCATGTAATAACTTAACTTCTCCCATTTACGACACTCATATTAAAAGTGTCCCAGTCAATAGCACTTAAATCATTCAATGGTTGTTTTATTGAAGGATCTACTCCCCGGTCTCTTCTCCTTGCAACTTCACTACCTCTCATTGCCTCACGGCCTCGTTCTCTTCCATTTGTTTTCTCCTTATATGCAATCTTTAAAGCCTCTCACCTCCTCCTTTTCTTCATAATAATTTCTGCTCATGAAAAAGCAGAGAATTTTAAAGTACATCAACTATAAACTTGTTAGTGTCCTTTGCCTCTTCGATAGAACACAATGTAGAGAGTTCATATTTTCTTCTTAACAATCTTACCATCTATCATGTCTTCTCTACAATTTCTCATGTCAATGGCCACCACCATGACTCATGTAACATAGTTTGTGATCATCTCTCCCACCTTCATCTCTAATAGCTCAAAGGTCCTCTAGAGTCTCTAAAGTTGAACATGTTGCACCATAGCATTTCTTTATTCTACAACTACTTGGAAGTCTCTTTTTGAGTGATAATTTTCATAATAGACTTCTTAATAGCTTAAAAAAATAGTTGTTAACCTTTAAATCCTCTAGCCTCATCTCATCTCCTTTACAAAATTGTTTGCCTCAATTGCCATGTCCCTCACACTCATGTTTCTAGCTCTCACACTCTATTAGGCTTCTTTCAAAGCTCTAATATTATAATTTGTTAGATACTAAGCTAATGCATGCAGAATTACAAAATAATAATACACCTTTATTAACATACTAGAGTTTATATAAGCCTTTTATAACAAATTAAAGAAGATTAAGCATCTATGTTTAACAACTCTTAAATCATAAAAGACTTAACAGGAATGATTTAATCTACAACCAAGTTCCTAACATCAATCTACAACCAAGTTCTTAACATTCAGAACTTTATTAACAATAAAATACAAATTGAATTTACTAATAAGATCCTAACTATATATATATATATATATATGAGAATGGATCAAATTATATTGTTACAAGTTACGTACAATCTTACGTCATTAATAATTGAATAAAAATTCAACTGTTAAATTATAATTATATATTACCTAAATTATGTGTCAAAATTTTTCAAAATTAAATATATGCAAGACTGTTATCAAATAGTTCTTATTTTCATAAATTTTAAAAAATATATATTACATTAATTATGATATATATAAATAAAGTGTCAAATAATTTTTAATCAGTCTCAAAATTTACATATATGATAACAATATTGTACATGCTTAATTGATAAAATTTAACACAAATAATTTAAGTAATATATAATTATAATTCAACAGTTAGATCAATAAAAATTATTTTTATATTAAATTATTAATGATACAGAGTGGGTATAACTTACTATAAATAAGATTAAATTTTCACCTTAAAACTTTAGAATACATTCAAAATTTTCAACTGAACAAAATATTCATCCCTCCCATTCGAGAACACAAACATCAAACAAATTTGGCCGATAACCCACGCGCTTTGATGCTTGGATGAAACCTTGCTTGTGTTCATTTTGTAGAGGGCCAGCGGACACGTTATCCCATGTAATTGGTAAAATTTTAGCTTCTCAACAAATTTAGTTAAAAAAAAAAAAAATATTCACATGGCAAGACAAGACTCAATGGACAAGAATAGAGTAGGAACGTCAAGGAAAATTTTAAGGTACAGGTACCAAGTGAAGATGATGGGAAGAAAATCGAATGGAAATTAATTGGTTGATTGAGATATTTGATGGGTTGTTCATCAAAAAAGACAAATGTCAACTGGCTTGACATCGACGTTAGACAAATTTGGAGCATTATTAAAACCTCGATTGGAATCAGCAAGAAGGATAAGGGTAAGTAGAGTTGTTCAAGACTAAGGACATCACAAGTCTTCTTAACAAACTATTAGTTAATGGTTAAGGACCACAAGGGGACGCTTTCATGGAGTGTTCCAACTTCCAAAGGCTTTCTTCATTATGTAACAAGTCAACTCAATGCCAAAATTTAACAAGGTTCGCACAAGTAAATTGTGAATTATTAGTTCAAATTTAAAAGAAAATAACACTATGAAGAGATTCAATTGAAGAACTAACGTTAGTTTGGATTACCAAATTAGTTTTTTATTGTTTCAAATGTGATGCGTCAATGTTGCTCATGTAGGACTATTTTCCATTAGATGTCAGATTAGTAATGCAATAAGGATAGGTGCAAGATATTATTAGAGTCATGTTTGCCTATTTACCTCGTTGCAAAACATTAATGATAATGTAAAAGAAATAATTATAAAAATATTTGTTTAGCATATATGATACATGTTAGACACTGTCACTTATTTTATAATTAAAAACCTAACAACATTTAGAATGAATTAATTTTACAAACGAGTATAACTTCATAATATTGATCCTGTATTAATAATATATATATATATATATATATATATATATGCATAATTGTCTGTGTCTATATATCTATATAATATAAATATTTATTTATATAATTTAGATTACAATATATTTTGATGTAAAAAATTCACTTGTTATGATGTAATTAGTTTTTATTTAAGATGTAGATTTATTGTAAATAGTTTTTAATAACAATTTCCACAGAAAGAAAATACATGAGAATATAACAAGATGAATACTGTAATAAAAATAAAGAAAAAAAATATAACTATGTAAAAATATTATAAAAATAATATACTTCTCGCGAAACATAAACATCGAAGTATATTAGGCCCCTAACCCGACGTGCATTGATTCTAGAAAGGCTTATAGATGGATCAAATCATTTGGTGGCAGAGAGACACGACACTTAATCTATGTAAAGTTGATAGCGTCTTTTAACCCAAGGAATGGAGTACGAGATCATCCCATTTTTTATAGATTACAAGTTTACGACTCTATCTGTCTTTTTGGAAGAAATCAATTAAAAAAAATGTGTAAGTATTTTTTTTTTGTCTAACAGTTTTTTCTTTTTTCTTTTTTTACAAGTTTTTTTCTATTTTGAAATGGAACACTTTTTTTCTCTTAAATTTTGTTATTGGAAAAAAAATAATGTTTTTAACTTATTCTTGAAAAAAATTAATGTCTTTAAAGACTTTTTTTTGTCACATAAGATAAATTTAATAATACAAAAATGTTTTTAAGATGCAAATTTAACTCTTCTAAAATGAGAAAATGTGTCCAGAAAAGGTGAAGATTTATTTATTGCTAATTTTAAGCTGATTATATTTACAAAATACTTTAATTCAAATAAACAGTGGATAAATTCTTAAGATATATGATAACAAATAATATATATATATATATATATATATATATATATATATATATATGCATGCATTAGAATTTAGAAGACACAAAATAGTAGAATATTAAATGAAAAAAGGTTTTAAAAAATAAAGAACAGCTTATGAGTGAACTATTAAAATAGAATAAGATAAAAATTAGTCAATATTTTAATTAATTAATTAATAGGGTAGAATAAAAAATTACCCCACACACATATATATATATATATATATATATATATTTTAATGAGTTATAATTTATTATTTCACTTACTATTAAATATATATTAAATAAAAGACTTAGATTGAACGTAAAAAAATTTAAATTTACACTGTATGAGAAGATTCTTCTCTATATTTATATAAGATTAAAATTAATTTTCACTTTTAAAACTTTAGAATACATTCAAAATATACAACCGAACAAAATAGTCAACTCTCACGTTGAGAACACAAACATCGAACAGATTTGGCCACCTGCGCTTTGATGTTTTGATGGTTTGATCGATGGAACAATTTTTTTTACTGGTCAAATGTGATACACGATTGCAAAAAGATGTAAAAATGCCAATCCATGAAAAATCTCAAGGTGGTAAAAATGCATTTAGAATATTTAAGTGTCAAATATTAGTTATTTTCATTTTCAATTTGTTTATTGACACGTGAGATTTATGAGTGGAAGCAATCGAAAATATGTCGCCGCTGGTTCATTAACATCTTTTGACAAACATAACTTGTCTAAACAATATTCCAGATCAAGAAAAACAAATCTGATCCATGTAGAGTTTAAAAACTAGTTTAAAAACTTAAATTCTTTTCAATATATTTCCATAAATTCCTTTGTAAATTTATTAAAATGAACATTTTTCAACTTATGTCTATAAGTTTTATATTTAAATTAATGATATAAACTGCTTGTATAATTAAAACTTATTGAATAAGTGCTAAATTAAGTCGTTATCCCAATGCACCCTTGGTCAATTTCCACTAAAAAAAGTGTCTGCTTGCCATCCAATTTTGGAAAATGTGTAGGAACTAATTCGCTTTCCCATTCAGTTTCAGTTGAATCAAGATCCCACTAATAATTGATCTCAAGCATAACTTTCTGTAGTGCTTCTGCTGCCAGAGGGATGTGCAAGCAATCTTGACCACCATCAGAATGCTTCTTAATCTTGACCAGCTCATGATCCTTAAATTCAGTCAAATGAGCATTCAGCGTAACCTGACTGCTAACAAGGAAACGTTCTCTACAGACTGTGTACAGATCATTGATTGGCATTCCTATTAAACAAAAAGGAAAACATTTAACAAAACATAGCTATGAAAAGAACAATATATCCAAGTAAAATGGTAGAAATTTGCCTTCTTCAGGGTGTGAGAGTTGATGTTCGGCAAGGACTTTGAATACACTCTGGGCATTGCGTGTCAAACTTAGCAAAACTATCGTAGCTGTTTTGACAATTTGGCTAGCACTGCCATGTGCAAGAATCAGAGGATAAAACATGCCTTCAACCTTATAAGGGGCATAAGTAGGAACATGATACCAGCACCAATTGAACTGTGTGTGAGCCATATTCTTGTCCCAAACTGCCAACAGATGATAAAATTATTAAGCAATAGACAGAGACTACAAAAACAAATTCCACACATTCACAAATCCTTCATTTGTTTTCCTACGGCAACAAAAAGCCATTTCCTAATAGGTGGGGTCAGCAACATAGATTAAAGGACACTTTTGTATGATGTCAAGAGTAAGTCATCAAAGAGGCCATTTAGATATATGTCCTTTTTAATATTTTACTAAAACGTTTTTCTTGGTCTTCCTCTACCCCTAATTCTAGCTATTGGACTATTCTCAACTTGATCAACTCTTTTAACTGGCCCTTCTGCTGGCCTTCTTGCATGACCAAACCATCTTAATATGTTATTCCACCATCTTTTCCTCAGTATGTGCTATGTGGATTGCTACTTTCACTATCACAGAATTTCTGAGCTAATGTGTTCAATCTTTTCCCTACAAACAACTTTAAAGAAGTGAAAAATATTTACAGTAGCAATTTAAGTCTCAATACTAAGAATAATTTTGGTTCATCAATTTTCTGCAAGGGCAATACCACTTCGTCCTCATGCCCAGTTAAACAGAGAAAAGAAAGTATGATCAGAACTTCAGAGGACCTCATCTAACAATGTGTAGATCAAACAAAAAATCTAAATATCATTTTGTTTTACAAAGGAAAATTTATACCTTTTAAATTGTAAATTAATATTGCACCATTCAAGCATCTATTCAAACACTAAAAAACAAATCTTAGTAGAAAAACTTAAATCATTAAAAGTTAATATAATTAGACATGTTTTTTAAGACATATACAAAGATGACACTTACAACTTACAAGGAATAAAACACTCTGTACAAGATAACTTGACAGTATCAACTAAACTTACATAGAGGAGCATTAACATGGTCAATAGAGGCAACGACACGAATGCGAGCACAAGCAGCTAGTCGAGCAAGATATTGTTGGGTTTCCGAGTCCCTTAATCCAGGTCCATCAATATTGTGAATGACAACACAAACAAAAAAATCACTGTCCTCTATTTTCACCTGATCTAAAAATGTAAGAAGATCTTCCATGGATTGAGAATTGAATGTCTGCTGGCTCTTGGGCAAGTCCCGAAGGGAAACTTTTCGTTGAGTTTTCACTTGATCCCACAGAACTTCAGCTAAAGCTATCACTACCTAATAAATTTGTGGGGAAAAAAGATGCAGGATCAGACAAATATTTACGTTTTTGCCTTTTCTTTTTACAATGAAAGAGCTACAATTTGGAAGTAGCAAACTTGGTTCAGACTTCAAGTTTCTAATGGTCGAGTCAGAACAAATCAGCTTCTTATTAAGGCGACAAAATAGAAACTCGAGCCTGAACCTGCATTTTACACTTAAATATACCAAATTATCCCAAACCCAATTAAAGAAAAACCTGAACGGATTTAGACAAAACAACCCAAATTAAGTTAGATCTAAAATTTATAACTCAAACCTTATACTTTTTTTATATATTTTTTTTAAGGGGCTTACGGGTCAGGTTTCCTAATTTTGTCAGACCTATTATAATTACATGAATCTTTGGAATGTGAATTGTTTGGGGTAAAACACAAACCTGTTTTAAGTTAATAGTTTGAAGATATCCGTTAACGACAAGTACCGAGCATTCAGTTAGCGCAGTTGAAGCAAAATCTTCAATCAGAGCCTTCTTAGATCCAAAGCCATACATTAGAAGACCAAAACCACATCTGAATCATCAAAGTAAACAAAAGAAGTGAATATAACACAATAAAAGTACTTTGTAAAAATATGATCCAAACGAACCTTAGCGCGAGAAGCCATTCAGGATACATAGTTTTATAGGAATCCATTAAGAGGGTGACCTCGTTTTCATGCTTGGGTTGAATTTGCGATGCGGCTTCCCTCAGTTCCTAGTCAAGAACGAAATCGAAGGTTGATTGGAGAGAATAAAAAAGGGAAATACAACAACCTAGGAAACTACGAGTGGTACCTGTTCATCAACAACGTTTATGTCGGTAAGCTTGTGTTTTGATTTCTTGGCCGAAGAAGCCAATTCCTTCGCCAGAAAATAATTCCTTGAGAATTCGAACTCTTCTTCCTCATCCTCATCCTCCCAATTGCCATTAATGTTATTGTTCATCGTTCAATTCACGAGGAAAAGCTAACACTGTTGATGCAAATTTATTGTGCACTCTTCTCTCTGCTTTTGTACTGTGCCCTAAACATTTTCCCGCCAGTTTTGCCTGGTTCCGGATACACGACCAATACGGTCGTGTTGGGGTTCCTAGAATATTTAGAGCAGTCTGGGGTAATATATATAAAAAATATAGTTTAGGATTATAGCTAGACTAAAGTTAATTAGTTTTCTTAGAAAGTAATTAATAAATAAATTTAATCATATTTTTAAAAATATTTGTTAAAATAAATTTGAGAGGATATGTCATTTTTAAATTAAGTTTATTGTTATAATTTTTTAATATTTTAAAATTTTAAAAATATTTATACAGTTGTATTGGATTTTTTAGAATATTTAAAATAATATATTAAAAAATATAGTATAAAATTAGGGTTAGAATAAAGTTAATTGATTTTTTAGAAAATAATTATTAAATAAGTTTAATCAATTTTTTTTGTTAAATACTTGTAAGAATAAACTTGAAAGGATATATCATCTTTGAATTGATTGTTATAATTTTTTTAATATTTTAAAATTAAAAATATTTATATTTTTCTAAATAAATTATTGGATTTCATTATTTATTATATATTTAATATAAAATTAATAGAGATAATTGTTTTATATGTAAAATATTTTCTTAATTTACAAGACATCATAGAAATTACTTTTAATTCTTTGAGATAGGTTTTTAATTTTTTTTTTTTCCCTTCTTCTCTTTCCTTCTCCTTTCCTTAACATTTTTCTCATAAGACATTACTTTTATTCATGTATCCTTTTGTGCGGTATTAGTCTAAAAGCATTTTCTTATAATAATAAAAGACAAATGTGTTTGTTTATTATTTTTATTAAATTATTTTATTTAAATTTAATTAAAATTTATATTTTAAATATTAAAAATATTTTTTTAAAAATAAAAAATTCAATTAATTTTATCAAATTAAGTTATTTTACTTTTTAAAAAATTATTAAATTAAAATTATCTAATATTTAAATCTGTAAATATTTATTAATTTTTATTAAGTTCACATGTTATTTTCTGAATCTATATATTGTATAATATTAAATATCATACAACTACAATTTTTATGATGACAGAATTGCATTAAATTTTTTTAAATACAATAAATTATTTTGAGTATTTTGATAACAAATGACTTAATAAATTTAATTAATGTTACTTCTCTTTGTTAGTTTTGTGTTTTTATTTTAATATCAAAATTATTTATTGAACATATGATATTTTTAAAATAATTTTATAAAAAATTAAAAATATTAATATAAAAATATTAAAATGTAAAACATTTTATAGTTAATGTTTAAATAAAATTATAAAATAATATGCTAAAAATATTTATAAAATTATATGAATGAAAAATGCTATTATGATTTAATAATTATCAATAATACAAAAAATTAGATGAATGTGTAACTTAATTTAATAATAAATAATATTTAAAAAAATATTATTTAATAATAGTAATTCATTTTATATATTTAATATTATACAAATTTAATTGTTGTTCATCTATTTTTAAGTAATTTTATTTATTTATATATTTATAATAAAAAATTATTTTAAGTAAATTTTAATATTTTTTAAAAAAATAGTTAACTCATGAGTTAGTCTTATTCTATTTAATCCTGTAAATCTTTTTAAGCTTTATAAAGTTCTTATACAGGGATTTTTGGCAATATAAGAATATATTTGATTTATTTTTTAAAAAGAGTTTTTAATTTTTTTTAAATATAATATAAATTTATACTATATTTAGAAAAAAAAATTAAAAACTCTTTTAAAAATAGAAAACATACATACCCTAAGTTTTTAACCCTATTCTGCATAGATTAAAGCTATATCAGTTAGGACTCATCGTTTGACACTTATAACATTAAACATTGATGATTCAAAAACAAACTATTATTTTGGTCCTTTCGAAATTATATACACGTAACGGTGTAGAAATAAGAAATTGTTCACTTTGTTATATTCATAGCCTATTTTACTGATAATTTGTGAATTCTTATTATTCATAATATTAATTGAAAATTTGAAATATTTATTTTTATTTTTCATATGAATAAATAATTAATAAATAATATTAATTGGATTCGACGGCAGGAAAAGGGTTTTATCAAACGAAGAGAGATACTTTATTTTATTCACAAGAAGAAAATAAAATAAAATAAATTTATTATTATATATTTGAATAATTAAATATATATTAAATAAATAATTTAAAATATTCTTCGAAAATGTTCATTTTTATAGGAGAATTAGGGCTAAATAAAAAAAAAAAAGTCTCTTCTCCTTTCATCTTCTTTTTAAAATGTTAAATCACTCGTAAAAAAAGTGATGAAGGTTTCATTCCACTCTCATCCTCTTCTGCACTTGCTTCCAACCAATTAGTACTTAAACTTCGTCAACAGTAACTTATGGGTGGTGATGCTTGGGGTGGAAAAGAGGAGCTCCATGGCAGCATTGCCACAGTACTGATCTGTGGCCAATCATATGGGGAAGAGATTTCTTAACTAAGTATGTGTTTATGGAAAAAAAAAATTCAATATGCAAAAGCTATAACTAGCAATATTAAAATAAATATAATTTACTTACATTCTAATGTAAACATGCTTTGCTATAATGTAATAGTGTTAAGGAAAAAAATAAAAATATAATTTAATATATATTTTAAAAATATTTTAGATATTATGTTTTACTTAAATTTTATTTAAATAATTATAACTACATTACATATAAAAATTTTATTGAGATAAAAATTGAGTTTTAATTTAATAATACTATAAATATCTAAAAAATTATACTTAAATTTATTCACTATAATATTGTAGATTAGAATAATTAAGTAAAGAATTTCAATTTCACAATTAATTGAGTCAATTGACTACAAAACAGTTTTGTTTTTTTTTTAAAAAAAAATACATGTAATTGAATTAATGCAATTTAATTTCCTTACATTTTAAAAATTTCAAATTTTAAAATACTCCATCCAAACTCAACCTTAAATTTATTACACTCCATCCAATAAATTTCATTTTAAGAATGTGAAATTAGATGATTAAAGAAATATCTAAAACTTAAAAATTTTTAAAGCTTAAAGTTAACAATTATACAAAATATAACGTTAAGGTGTTTTTTTTATAGATAAAACATATATTATTAGAAAAAGTTTAAGGAGAACTCAAAATTCATACATACAGAGAAAAAAAACTAATACTTACTTAGGAAAATAAAAAGCAAAAACATACTTATACATAGTTAAGACGTATGTAATTTTGTGAGTTCAAATACTAATCAATTAACAAAATAATTTCTCCCTTACAAACAAGTGATAGTCATTTCTAGGACTTCAAAATAATAGAATCTATGATTTTCCTCTCATCCAAAACACTATTGGAAAACACAATTTTATTTATATGTAACCACAAAGGCCACATTGTACTTACCTAAATAATTAATAAACATATCTCTTCTCTTCTATTACAACCAATACTAACCTAAGAAAGCAAGTGAGTCAATAAATTTGAAGGTAAAACCAGTGAAAATCTAAGCCAATGCACAATAAAGTACTAGATTTGAGATGAAATTGAACACATTAAAAATAAAAGAGTTGGAAGTTCCTATAAACTATGATAGAGGCAACAAGTATATCATCAATTTGAACACCACGATCAACCAACAAATTTTTACAAAAAAGTGCATTCAACAATAATTGCTAAGAAAATATCAAACATTTAATAGGTACCTTCACTTTCCATAACCTTTGCAAAGTGTTCGTTGTACACTGATTTACACTGTTATGACCATCAAAAAGTTTAAATAGTCATGAATACGCAGATTGCACTGAATAACAATATGAAGAATCTGTCTTCTATACCCATTTATCTTCTTATAATACCTTAATAGAAACTACATCCATAAGCTCTAACAAAATATTAAAGCTTGAGATATCATGTTGAAAGAGTCCTTTTCATCAACTATCATCTCAAACCTATCTAGTGCCATCATCATGAAAACCATTCTCCAATACACAAAATTTAACATTCTCGTCACCGTAAATAATCACAGAAATAACTCACACAATCACATATAATGTTAAGGTTTGGTTCCTATAATTTTATTATGTTTAGATTTTAATCCTTAAAATATATTTAAACATTTGTCTCAATTATCGGTCCATGAAATATAAGTGTTTTGATATATTATTGATAACAAGCATCAAAACCAAAAGATTTAAAATAGTAGAAAATACAATATAAAGTTTAAAGTAAAAAACAAAATAAAAAATAATGTAAAATACAGATGAAGAGCATTTAAACTAATTTTAAAAGATATTAGTGTTTTATTTCAATAAAAAAATTTAAAGTATTAAGATGTGTGTAGTTAATCAACTTAAAATACCCGAATTAGTTAAATTATATAATATAAATTGTGAGTATATATGTTGTATCTTTCACACCCATTTTCTTACATAGCAATATAGCATGGGCAATCCATTGAAAATAATTTAAAGGGTTAGTATATGCGTCACTAGTTCTATTGAGTGAACTTACATTATTGATGCATGTTCGATCGTTCACAAAGATTTTCTTACATAGCTTGGTTGCAACCTGCAAGTGTAAATGTGTATTTGCTTAAGTAAAAAATTTGCTTAAAATATTTACTAAATAGAAAAAAAAAAAAATCCCACGTCATAACGACACTTCAAAATCTTAAAATTTAAATCGATATAAAATGAATAAAAAACTTGAAAATATATCTTCTGAAAATTTTCAATATAAGTAGATGTACAAGTACAGTTGATTTTAATAAATTATTGATATAAACATTTTTATTTTATTTAATGACTTTAATTCTATTAACATTGACATCAAATGTTAATTTTATCAAATACAAAATACTAATCATTAAAACATTTACAGAATTAATTTTGACAAGCATTTTGTTCTAAAATAATAAATAGAAAACTGAGTTAAATACATCAAATCTCTCTTCTTTCCTTTCGAACAGTGGCGCACGTTAGCTGCATGAACACAAAATAGAATCGTGGATCACATGTGCATTTTAGTAGGAGCAACAGGTCCACCATCAATGATGAGGGGAATCACCGAAATTATTAGGTGATCAATCCATCCAATTCCCACGACACTCTCAAACGACAAGCGTACGTTAGCATACACGACCGGTTTGTTTAAATGTTCCACTTCCCTTCACACAAGAAAGCTAGCTGGTCACGATCTGATTCTATTTTGGGTCGCAATATTTCAGCTCAAAATTCCCAAAGTTGCAACCTTTTTTCTGTTTTGCATCGGAAAGAGAAAGTGGGCAATGGTGGGATGAGGAATAAAGGGGAAGCGAAGAAGAAGGGAGGGACATGGCGAGAGGGGAGTGGAGGGTTCAACTTCAGCCAAGAGGGAACTCAATTTGTTCATACAAGAAATTCACTCTTTTAGTTTGCATTTTCAACATTGTCGTTGCTCTCTTCTCTCTTCGCTCTCTCTATGCTTCTCTTTATATCTACTCTGGTAGTGCTGCACAAAACTGTAAGTTATATCAATAATTTTATGATGTTTTTATGTGAAATAAACAAAAAGGGTAGAAAAAAAAAAGGTGTATGCTTTATGATAAATTTTGAACCTGGCGAAAGGGGTTTTGTTTGAGACAAAAAATGTTAAATCTTTTGCTTAACCCTTTTTTATTTGGTTGATTTTGATTGTGTTTTCAGATGTCGTGTATAGACCAGATCAGATTCGGAAAATGGAAGAGTCAAATGAAATTCGGAAGGTATACAAACCGGTGGAGTTAATGAAATTGGTATGACTATGAATCGTTTTATACACGGCTTGAGCAAACACTTACTGTAAAGTTATCCTCAAGTTAATGATGTAAAACTTGTGCTAATAGGTGGAGAAATTAAAAGGGGAGTTTTCTAGCAAAAATGTGGTGGTAGAGTTGCCTCAACACTTGAAACAGAAAATAATTGATGAGGTTTTGCAGAGACTAGGGAACTTGAATGGACGCAGTGCAAACATCTCTTACTCCCTGCGCATTGCTAAGGAGCGAGGTGAGGTTATGCTTGTATAGATTGTGCTGTTAAGAATCTAGTTACTCCTTCTATACTTAAACACTGAGAAGCTTATTGTATTGGATAATATTCTTTACGTTAAAGCTTGGATTAGAAGAAAGAGTGGTCGGAGCTATCGTCTTTACCTAGTCATTTCATTTCTAGGAATGGGGAATTGCAAAGTTTTTTTGTTGCTTGTTGATTAAGTTTTATATATTTTATAGGAAAGTTAGTACCAATTTTACATGGCGAATTTGATTGTTATGCTGAATTATATACGAAACGTGTCCCCTGTGAACTTGATAGGATCTGGTTAATCTGAACTGTTGATATAATTAATGCTATCACTATATGATGCAAGAGGATCAGGATCTCATATTAACAAGACCATTGACACTGAGATTTGACTTTTTAATCTCCTTAGCATATTGGTTCTTTTTGTTGACCCTGAATTGTATAATTGCTACATTATTAAAAGTTTCGCAGCAAACATGAATTTGTTTGGATATGTTGTATTCACAATTTCATATACGATTCCTTTTAAAAAAAAAGAAATTATTTCAATGTATTTGTCGCTTGCTAGCTAGTCATTAGTGAACATTTTGTCGTTTAAGGACGAAACTAGATGTTCGATGTTCGATGTTCGAATGTGAATTGGACTGTAAAGTTTCTTTTGTGTAAATCTTAGGTCAAGTTGCAATTAGAAGACATACTTGTCAGTCTTTTATAATTTTTTAAGGAATTTGCTTTGAGATGATTATTCACTATCCCTTTTTGTTCTCTTTTTTTTTTCAATCTTAAATTTGGAAGGAGACCATTTTGGATTGTACTAATTCCAGTCCTAATTCAAATATTTTCCTTTCAAGAGTGCTTAACCAATCATTTCTTTGATGTCATGTGGCTAAAAATGAGGTTCATATTTTGTATTTGAAAGCCTTCTACTGGGGTGGGGGGTGGGTTAAAATATGTGGAGAACGGGGATTGTTAGTCATTCTATTTCAGACACCGATTTGGTAGTGTTATGTCAATGATAATTTTACAATTTGAAAGGTATTTTTGATGTCTTTGACCCATTTTATTTACAGAAGTAGTTGAAAATTGGCGCAAGGAAAAATTGGAAGAGGTAAAGTTGGTTGTTGTCAGAAGGACATCTAACTCAACCATTCCTCATGAAGAGGCAGGTATGAATAATGATTTTTTGCTGTGTTTCTGACATTTGAATTGATTGTGTGACATTTTAAGAAGAAGCTTGTGTCGTTTGCACACTAACGGATGATGAAAGCTTTTTATATCTTGGGCACCTTGTATCTAATGTTTATTTCAATTTCCTAGAAATGCTAGTGAGAGCTTTGGAGTCTGATTGGGCTGTGCTTTCTGAAGAGATTGGCCTTTGGATACCTAGCGAGGTTGCTAATAAAGAGCACAATGACAAACCTGAGGGCGTAGAGGAGTTAGGTAATAAATTCTCCAGTCAAAACGTTAGTCCCCATCTTACTTTTGTAATCTTTCATTCTTTCCCAATAACCCCTATACAGTAGAAAATTCTTCGCTAAAGTGGTTTGTTGGATATTTTAACAACTTATGATGCATGCTGGTGTGTTGGAATCTGGAAGTGTGTACATATTTTTCCATGTAAAAAGCTCATATTTGTATTTACTAAATACTCATTCTCCCCAGAGGAGGAAGTTCTTCCTGGTAGGTCCCTTCCACCAGAATGCAATGTTGAACTTCATACAGATTATGGTGGCACTGCAGTAAGATGGGGTCTTACTCATCGCAAAGATAGTGCAGCTGATTGTTGTCATGCTTGCCTGGACCAGGCTAAACGTGCCAAAGAAGGTGAAAAGAAATGCAATATTTGGGTTTATTGCCCATCAGAGTTTGGGTGTCATTCACCCGATATCTATCAGCACAAACATCAAGAATGCTGGCTAAAATATGTGAGTGGTACCCTATGACTGTGATTCTGATTCACTACCTTTCCTTTTCTCTATGTATAATGCTTAATAGCCCTTGATTCTTTATTCTATATGAGATCTGACCAAAATACTCTTGAACTTTGAGATAATGTCTGTTATAAAATTTTCCTTGCTAGTTGTGTATTTTCTTTCCTTCCTGGCTAATAGACTTCTGAATCCAGGCTGAAAAACCCAAGCTAAATTTTAAGGATAGGTATCCTGAATGGTATCGAAATTCACACCCATCTGCACCAGTGATCGTTCCATGGGTCTCTGGAGTTGTCAGTGCATGAGGAAACAATCAACACTACAGGTAACATAATCAATCGGAGTCTAGAGCTATTGTAGATGGTAGGCACGCAAAGATGCTTTGGCAAAGCCCTTTCATGCTTTGTGGACTACGATATTGTTCTTCAACATGATTTTACCTTTTTGTGATAAATGAAATGAAGAGCAAAGGATTTTCCCCAATGTTCATTTACTCATTTAGGACTTGGGTCTGGTCAAGTCATGGCTTTTGACAAACTCATCATCTCATTGCCTAGACTTTTTCCCCAATACGAGTCTAATATTTGTTTTAGATTCTTAGATGATGATGCAGTTGGACATCTGACATCATAATGGGTTGTGTTGGGTTACACGTTTGGGAAGCCAAATTCCCTTTTGAAGATAATTTATTTATTCTTGGGCAAATATTTGCTAACTTTAAAAGTACACTGGAAATTGTTATTTTCCTATTTGTGTTCACCAAAATGTGAAACAAACATGCACTAACTGATGAGGAAATTGTTGTGTTGTAAGCTATCTGACATCATAATTCTTTGTATCAGTGGGATTTATAATGTTAATGTTGACGATCATCAAAATCATCTCAATGTACCATGGCTTCCTTTTATCCATTAGAATCACACATCACATGCATAGTGCATGTATGTATGCACGTGTTTAAATATATGTGTATATGTTGCTTGTTATTAATATTAAGTAAAAATTACATAATCGAATTTTGTCAATCAGATCCCGAAGGGTTTCCACAATAAAGTATCAAGCAGAATAGGTTACCGGTATTGGTATTGATTGCATATTTCGTGTAAGATATTACTTAAGAATAACCAAAACCTCCTAGCATCAAGCTCTGTTCATGTGCAAAGTTAGTGGCTAGGAGTTTAAATCGTCTTACTCTTTGGTTAATCCACCTTCAGAAGTGGTTTTCACCTTTATAAACGTCAGAGTGCTTTGTTTATCCTTCTGCTGATATGCTCTTCTGCATGCTTCTCACTGTTAAGAGAAAGTCTAACCTTCCAATTACAATTACAACGAAATCAGCGTGCAGGAAAAGTTATGTATATCCAAACTGAGAATACTTGAAACATTAACGACCTACTTCGGCTTTCGTTTGTTTTTAGCACATTTAGTTTCATATTAGGATGCAGTTGGATTTACGCTTATTTTAACGCTATTAATTATGAACTTTTATGTTGAATTTACGCTTATAGATTCTCTAACGTGTCACAGCAACAACGCCTTAATGCAATCTTGATCTAAACCCAAGTTAGAGAGTCACAGCAATAATTCCTGGCTTCTCGGTTGAACTTTTGGCCGTTGGGAGAATTAGATGAAAGGTTTTAGGTTCGAAAGATCTTGCAAAATTTGCAAGAAAAGGGCCATTTTGGAAGAATTGCAACTACTCACATGCAAGTTGTTGGATTAAATACTCTTTTGAGAAACATTTGAAATACGTAGACTAGACTCTTCCAAAGTGTAACTAAAGTACACAATAATAATTTATATATTATAATTTTTTAGTAAAAATATATAATATAATACATTAATAATATTGAATATTATAAATTTTAATAAAAATATTATTTATTAATTTTCTGTTATGTACTTTTGGGCACCAAAATAAAAAAATCTAAACAATACCTTTAATTTATAACTCATATTTCAATGTAAAAAATAATTTACGCACATTTTATTTATGTTCAGCAATTCAAAATTTTTTTGTTTTCCAAATTTTAAGACAAACATACCTCGATTATGGGGCACACACAAAGAGAAGCATGCTTCTAAATTTTTATGCCAATGAAAAATCTTTTTTTTTCGTCCCTTGTTAACCTTTTAATTTTAGAAGATTGTTTTTAATGATCTATTTGTTCAAAAGTTCAATCCGACATTAGCTCCGGCCTTTTCTTTTATGTCGTTTGTATCTTTACTCGAATCTTAAATATTTACGCACTTTTGACAGTAGATGTCATATTATAATCAATGAACAATTAATTTATTTGACATTTTTACCCTTAATATTTAATGTGTGTTTGATAAAAGATAATAAATAAGTAAAATATTAATTAGTACAGTAGATAAAAAATATAAGTAATAACTTTTTATAAAATTTATAATACTAATTTTTTTAATTCCTACACAAAATTTTAAATGTAAGAAAAAACGAAAGAAGTATTATTTTGATAAAGTCAATTAATCTAAACACGTGCTACAACAATCTTTAAGTGATTTTTTTTATAAAGTGGATAAAGAAATAAATCATTTAACGTTTTTGTCATGAATTCTCTTAGTATTATACAAAGAAAATATGTAATAAATACATATAATATTTTAAAAACGTAAAATGTATTATATTTTTTTAATTTAATAATAAAAAATAGTAAAGAAAATTTAGAATCAAATTATTATTAAACCTTTGTGGTTAAATATTTTATTTAACTATGAAATGAAATTTTACAATCTAACTTATATAGGAAAAAAAAGGTTACTTCACATCTTTATTGTGTGAATTGTGATTTGTGTCCCCAAAAGACAGAATGAAAAGACCCAAGCCCCTAGGGTTTGAGAGCAGTTAGTTACTAAGAAAATCAGTTATCATAGAAAATCGTTACCCCTTTCCCCTCAAATGGGTTCAGGTTCGGGTTCCGGCAAGGTCCACTGGAACGTATTCGACGGCGTGAAGATAATCGCGGCGACGCCGGAGGCTCTGATGGCGGAGATCGACTCGGCGATTGTGAATCTGGAATACTCACGCGCCACCGCTCTTCTCGACGCCGACGATGGATACGACGCTCGTATGGCGGACGAATCTTACAAGGCAGGTTGCGCCGCCTTAGCCGCCGGCAAGCTGGAGGAGGCTCTCCGATCTCTGAACCTTGCTCTCTCGAAATGCCCTCCCGATAAGACCACCGCTCTCGCCAAGCTTCACTCTCTCATCGCTCTCACTTCTCAACACCTTCAAAACTCTTCCAAATGACATCGCCGGATGAATCTCAATCTTCAATTCTAAATCTTCATTCAAAAGATTCAGTAGTTCATCTTGTCTCTCTCGTTGTGTTCTATGATGCATTAATATATTGTTTTCAGCCTTTTTGTAAATTGTAATCGACCCCGTTATAGTTTGTATTATTATTACTTTTTCTTATCAATAACAACATTGACGGTAAATATTTTTTTAAGCAGAAAAACACACACAAAAAAAGTATGTAAAAATTCACCTTAAGTAATTTAACTGGTAAAATCTACGCTATCATCATGTAAGGGATAAAGAGTTTAATATTCTTTTTTACTAGAGTTTGTTTTTTTTTTTATTAAATTAATTTATTTTAAAATATAAAATATATAATTTAAATCTAAAAAATATATAAATATAATAAAAAATTTATTTATCAAAATAAATTATTATTTAAATATTTATAATTTAGTATTTCTTAGCATAAAATAAAATAGCATACAAATATTTTATTTTTAAAATATAAACATAAAATTTATATTATTTCATGATATCATAAATTATTTATTATTATAAAATTATAAATAAATAATTATAACAATAAATTATTAAATATAATAAATTTTTAATATACGTTATAAAATTTAAATAAAAGATATTATAATTTTTTATTTATATATTTGTTTATATTTGTTGAATTAAATTTATATGATAAACTATCTATTTATAATTATAATTTAAAATTATTAACCAAATTTTACTATATAATTATTAAAACATGATATTATGTTTTTCAAAAATAACTTATCAGACTAATATATAAAAAATAAAGTATTCATTCAACTAATGTATGAAATTTTAAAAATCTGCTTTACATATTAATATACACAAAAATATATGTTAATATTTAAAAATAAAAATATATTAAATTTTTTATATATAAATAAAATTATCATAAAAAATATTATAAATAAAAATTAATAATTATATAATATATATACTGAACTTAGAAGTTTACTTTTTGATAAAAAAAAATATAGAATTGAGTTTTTTTTAAATAATTAAATTATTTTATTTTTTTATAACTTAATAGAATTAATATTGATTGGCATTATAAATAAATTAATTTTATTTAATAACTAATTACGTATAATAAAATTATGTTATTTAGATAATAAAATTAAAATAATAAATTTATTAATTTTTCTTATATAATTATCTTTTAATTTTTGAAAATAATTAATATAGTTTGTTTATTATTTATTATTTATTATTTTAATTAAGAATTAATATAAAAATAAATATATCTATAAACTAATTTAATAATGAAATAATATTTTAAAAAATTTATTGAAAGAATAAATATTAATTTAAAAAAAATTAAAAAATAAATTTAAAATGCTATATAAAAAGAAACACATAGATTGAATTAAAAATAAGTAAAAAAAGTATATTATTATTAGGTCTCTAATTATTTTAAAAATATATAAATATAAATTTAATATAAATGTATTAAAATATTATATCTTCATTAAAAAAATAGATATGTTTCAACTATTTTGACGCAAAAATAATAAATTAAATATTTAATTTTTGTTTTCAGATATATATATTTTTTTCTATCTCTCCCATACATTATCTAATTATATAAAAAGAGGTTAAGATTTAGTGAATTTGATTTAATTTTTTTAATTAAAAAATATATAATTTTAAGAATATAACATAATAAATAATTATATTAATAAAAAAATATTTGTACTAATTTTATATTTTTATGTATAATATTTGCATTTTGATTTATATCTTGAAAACTAATTAAAAATTCACAAAATGACTAATTTTTTCATTAGGAAGCACTCTTCTTTGCGTTTGTAATTAAATATTATCATAAAAATTTTCAAAAGTATTAGAATTTATATTCTAATCTAAAAATTTTAAATAATCATATAGTTAGAATATGAAATTCTAATAAATAAATATAATTTGATATGTTAATATAAAAAATATTTTTATAACATTTTAAACACGAACTTCTATTTTTCTTGGATTTAAAATCTTTTAATAGTTGTAAAGATTTAGACTTCATACTCATAAAATTTTAAAATAAATGATATATATAGAAATTAAATATAACATTTAAACTTAATTCAGAGTTAAAACATTATATTTTCTTTATTTATTCATTCATTATGATATAAAATTATTAAATATGAAAATATAATAGTTAAATCATATTCATTTTCATTATTATGATATTTTGTAATTTTTAATTTATTTTAATTATTATAATTAATTAGTTTTAATTGGAGAATTTTAAATTTATCATCATCGTTATAGCATTTTACAAAAAAACATTGTAACAAAATTATTAAGTATGAATATTGTTAATTTTAAAAAAATTAAATTTGTCATCATAATTATTAAAATATAAAATATAAATAAAATATTGTCGATGTTAATAGGTTACACATAATTTTGATATATCAATTTTTATTAAATTATTTTCTAAAAAATTAAAATAATAGAAGAGAAAAAAAGAGTAGTTAAAAATTTTTAGTTAAGATTTAGGTAAAAACTAAAAGAGAATAATTGTTGTATTTAATACAAAATTAATCTCTATATCAATTAA